GGCCGGAGCAAGGGGGCGCCTGGGAGGTAGGCCGGCCCCACGCGTGCAGCGCGCCGCTGCGTCGCGGGCCAGCCTACCCACGCGCGCTGCAGGCGGCCCCGGCCCCAGGCCCGCCCCCCAAACGAGAGGCCCCGGGCGCCTCAGGAGCCGCCGTGTATTTTTATCGGGCGCGAGGATAGATACGCACTCACTCACAGGCGCACACAAGACACGAAATAACACAATTTTCTCCCCCCCCCTCTCCCCCGCGGGCCTATTTTTGTTCTTATCGCCGGGCGTGCTATTTTCTCGAGACTTCGTTTATTAACTTGCGAAGCGCGCGGTGCTCGGCGAGAATGAGGATCGTTGCGGGCCTCCCCGAGCTCGGGAGAGGAGCGAAAGGGATACGAAGGGATGGAGGGGGGGGGGAGGGCCTTCGTCACATCGTCCCATTTATGAGGGAGAAGAAGAAGCCCCTGAAATATTGAACCCGGCTCGCCTGCCCTCCGGCGAGCCTCAGGCGCTTGAGGTGGATCGGGCGGGATGATCCCCAAGCTCCTCCGCCACCTCGGCGTGCGTGCCGGGCAGTAGCCGGGCAGCAGGAGCAGCGCAATGGGGGCAGACGAGGTGCTATGATTTACTGATATGGGCTCGCCCGGCTCGGAAGGGTTCCCTTATTCTCCTCAAGGGCGCCGACTGCCTGCCCCGCCGCCGCCCCGGACCAGATAGCCCTCAACCTTTTGCCCGGGACCAACCAGGCCCCCGGCAGGCAGGCGGCGCGCAGGAGGTTCGGGGCGGGGCGGGGCGGTAGCGCCCCTTCCGGCCTGCGTCAATAGGTATGCAAAGAGGGCGAGGAAGGTGTGGACCTCTCTCGGGGCCCCCTCGCCACGGGGTCGCTCGAGGGCCCCCTCCCTCCGGGACTCCCTCCCCACTACACCTGGCAGACATTAATCACCCCGAGAGATTGGCACAGCCCTTCCTGCCGCCCCCGTACCGGAGGGCGCGTGCGGCGAGCTGCGTACATGATGCCGGCGTATGTCGTCAGCCACCGGAAATTTAGTCACGGCGCGAGTCGACCTCGACTGCAAGTCTCTGTGTGCTATGCGGTCTTGGTCTGGCAGGCAGGCTGCTGGCAGCGGCGGGCGGCGGCGGCGGGATGTGGACGGGAATCCTATATGGGATCAGAGGATCATCACCTGTGACGCAAGAGGAAGATTGCGCAGAGAAATCGTCAAGAGACACCCTTCAGGAGGCCGCTCAAAACTGGGGAGGTTACTATCACAATCACTATGAAGATGAGATATGACCGGGTCCGACCGAGCTGCCACCCAGAAAAATGATGAGGGGGGGGGGGGGTGCGCCCCTATCAGATGGATGGTTCAGCAGAGAGCAACAAAGTATATGATCGATGCAACATTCAAGTAGTTGTGAGAACCCAAACTATGGTGTTCTACCACCTGGTCATTGTTGTCTCAACCATATCTTACGGTGCTCCCAGAGCCAACCATGCGCTGGTTGCCATGATTTTGCTAGACATTTTTCTGGGCGTGGGTCCGGGGCGAAGTTCGACGCACACAGTCGATGAAGGTCTGCGCCCTTTGCCTCTGGGCCGGGTCGGGTCGGGGTCGGGCCGGGTCGGCCCAATCAACGACACCCCGCCGGCCGTCACCAAGGCCGCGTGCGTTAACAGAGGGCGGGACGTGCGTGGCCTGGCGAGACGTAGGCCTTAGTGGAGCTGGACGTGCGGATGCCGGTGGTTTCCTGGTATACATGTGAACGCCCCCAACTTACTGTCGCTCAGCACCACACAAAATGTACTTCCTAGCTGCGGTCACACGACCGGGGGGAGGGGGGGGGGGTCGGTCACCCACAAAGTCCATCTCTGGCCCCGAGTTGCAAGACCGACAGATTACTGATTAGCCGAGACGACCTTGCCACCCCCGGCCCGGCCCGGGCCGCCCCCGGCCAGCCCCCTCGCTCGGGGTGATCTCCTCTGAGACGGCCTCCTCGGAGAGACCCGATAATCCCCCTGGCCTGCTCGCGAGGACTCACGAGACCGACAGAGAGCGAGGCGAAAGGCGGCGGCGACAGGATCACGCGTCAGCAGGCGGGCGCCCGCTCCACCGCGCCGGGGATTTTGTTATTCCAACGGACACACTCCCCCGGCGGGATCCCCGTTTCTTTTTCTTCGCCTCTCGTCGTGCGCGCCCCGCCCGCTCACATTCCAACCGTCCAGCAGATCAGCCGCCGCTGCGGGGGGTGACGACGCTCGTGCGTCAACGCGCACAGGGCCCGACAACGCTACCCCTTCCTATCCCCTCCCCCTACGAGAAGGGCGGACCGTCTTTGTGCAACAAAAGCAACAACTTCAGGAAAATATAAACGGAGCAGAGGAAAACTATACCTATTCCTCGCAAAAGACACGGGTGTAATAACAAAAGTTAGCGTCTATTGGCACGGAGTTCTTATTCGCGCGACCCCCCTCCCCCTCCCAATATAACGAAACCACGAAGAAGCGTCGTATGAAGCCCCATTCTGTTTTAGCGTTGGCGGTGGTGGCATTTCAGAACGTAAACGTGGTCGTCGCTCGGTGGTCGTACCCACCGCCCTCCCGCCGCCCCAACCGCCCCCGCCGCTCTGGGGTTTAGAGTGGGCGGCGTTTTCCTGCGATGGGATATGTATTTTGGCGGCGCGGTGCGGGAAAACTTTGGTAAATGCTCGCGGCATCGCCATCCTTGGCGGCGCATCGGCGCGCGCGCCCAGAGGGCGGGTCGTGAAGAAGAAGAAGAAGAAGAAGAAGAAGAAGAAGAAGAAGAAGAGAAGGAGGCGGGGAAGTGAATGGGGAAGGCCGCTACGAGTTTACGCACAGAACTTGTACCACATCAGGCCGCTCTGCTCCAGCCCGGCCCGCGGGCGGGCGGCGTGGTCTTTCCGAGAAGCGCCCTCGCCGCTCCTCGCTCGCGCGACTTGCCTCCAATTTCCCCCTCAATTCGCAACTCTCGGCCGCCAAGCCATCGCTTTGGTCGGCGCGGCGCCGCCTGGCCGGGCCACGTGACTTACCAGTCGATTGGGAGGGCCCTTTGAACGATGTTCTGCAGTCCACGTTCACGAAATATACGCAATATATAGGTTAGAGATTGTAGATTGTAGGGTTAGTTGTTCTGGGCATTGGGTTAGTCCTTGCCTGCTCGGACTGTACTGTGGAAGGTCTTGAGTAAAGGGACACAACTTTTAGGTACACAGTACAGTAGCTTTTAACATGGAGTCTTACAATAAAAAG